GGGGGGGGGGGGGCTCACACGAGCGAGAGGGAGGCCCACAACCGGTGGGGGGTCATGCTTTTCCCCTCCCATGCCCCCATGCACCTTCTCTCTCTCTCTCTCTCTCTCTCTCTCGGTCCACATCCTCCCGGCGCGTGTGCGCGTTGGACCCTGACATCGCCCTCCTTCACAGCTCTCTCTGCCTCTCTCTCTCTCCCCCCCCCTCCTCTCTCAGAAGTTTGCCCTGAATAATACACCCTGTCGCAAGACCAAAAAGAAGTCCATGTGTCTCCCCATCTCTCGTCCTGCGGGCACTCTCCTTCTTTTTATCCCCAGCCTGAATATGCAAGGGACGAACCGGCGGAAAATCTCCTGGACGAGGAGAAAAAGGAGGGCGAGGGCCCACCCGGGGTTGATCCGGGGACCTGTCGATCTGCAGTCGACCGCTCTACCACTGAGCTATAGACCCGTTCTCGCTGACCAACCACCAGGGACGGGGCTAATTATACCGACACACTTGTGCCCGGGCATCCCATCCCAAAGGGCCCAACGAGGGCGCACCCCCCAAAGCCACCCGGCCCGGGAGGAGGACGCCCGCCCGGACCAAGAAGCAACAACACGGAAAGGGCCGAAGCTGGGGATCTGCATCTTGATGGGCAGGACACCCGGGAGCGAGTCGCACCGTTCCAGGGGGACCGACGCACAGAGGCAGGGCACTGGGGATGTCCCCAATCTCCGCTGAGAGTATGACGGCCATTCAAGGTGCCGTGCCCCTGGCGGGAAGGCGAGCAGAGGGGCTCCTTACGTCGTCCGGACGCTCCGGGACCGAGGGAAGAAACACGGCGAGGGGGGGGGGGGGGGGGGGCGGGAGGGGAAATCGCATAGGTGAGGGTCGACACCGACACCCTCCTCCTTCGGTGAGAGGGAGCTGGAAAGATGGGTCTCCTCGCCGCTTGATTGCGTCGAGGGCGGGGCCACGGCTGGCGGAGAGCCGACAGCAGGCGGGAATAGGGCAGGGCCCGGCCAGGCGAGAGAGGAGGAAGTGAGTGGAACCGAGGACCGCCGGCGGCAAAGGCACACTCCTCCCCTCTTCTGGGGCAGACCGAAAAAAAGGGCGCGCGTCCCGGTGAGCCCGACAAGATCAAAAGAATGGAGGCGGAGGGTATCGATCCCCCTGCCTGCCGCATGCTAAGCGGCCGCTCTACCATTTGAGCTACGCCCCCTGATCGGATGGATGCTCCCCTGCTCTCGCGTCTTTTGTCCCATCGCGCGGGCTTCCGGCGCGGGGTTGACCTCGGCGTTCGAGGCCCCAGGGCCAGATCTCCCCCGAGGGGAGGAAGCCTCGGCCTCACGGATGGATGAGGCCAGGGGGGGGGAGGGAGCCGGGGAATGCCAGCGCACGCGCGCCGGAATCTGTCCGCGGTCTGTGTGTCACCCGTTTTTCCCCCTCTCGAGCCATGGTGTTTTTGTGGGCCGGGGGTCCTGTCCCATGGCGTCGGGAGCCGGGCGGTCCTCCTCGCCCCCCGAGAGCCCCACTCAAATAGTCCTTCCCCAATTGGGTGAATGCCGGCGCACACCGGCCCGGTGCCGGGAGATGCCGCGCCGTAAGGCCCACCGGCCACAAGCAGAACGGCAAACAACCCCGAAGTCCGGGACATCGCAAGGGGGGATTGGGAGGGGTACGTACCAGACACCGGCCTATTTGTGGGACCCGCTGCCGGCCCGGGTACGCCTACACAGATCCCCACCCCCCTTCCTCGTCCTGCTCTACCCCCCCCCCCGCGACTTTTTTTTGGCCACCTTTCTCCCTCTCATCCCGCTCTCGCCTCGATGGACAAAGCGGCCACCTTCTCGAAAGAGCCTCCCCCGAGCTACTCGGCCGAGGACAACCCGCCACCCTACTCCCTCTCGACCGCCGGTGCTTGGTCCTCGACTGCCTCCTCACACTCCTCCCTGGCGTATCCTCCGCCGCCGGCGAACTTGGACCTCACCCCAGCACCCGACACGTCGCCTGCCACCTGCCCCTACCCCTTGCAGGATCCCCACAACCCCGCGGCCTCCCCCGGCCATCCCTCGCCACCGGTATCAGCCCTCCCCTATCCACCACCTGAGCCGCAGCCCCTGCCGCAGCCATATGTCTTTCCTCAGTACTCCCCGGGCCCCGGCCCGGCGCCCATGATCTCCACTGTCCCGGCGTCCCCGTCCTCGCCGATGCTCATGCCGCAGCCGGTCCTCCATGCGCCAGTCCCCGTGCAGCAGGCAGCCTCGCCGGTGTCGCCCTCCGCGGCCATGTCAGGCGGATCCACGGTAACCACGGTGACCCACTCGTACGCCAGTGTCCAGGTGAGGATCATCCTCCCGAAGCTGGTGTACACCCTCGAGGAGGTGGTCAGCGGACAAATTGGTGTGTCCTGGCCGCGGCCTCCCTCCTGCCTGGCCTCCTTTCTCCGCGCCCTCCCTCTCCCCTCCCCTCTTCATCCATGCATGCTTACCAACACACCCTCCCTCCGGTGGATCCACACATAGAACTCATCTGTCCGCAGAATGTCTCGTTGGAGCGCGTGACCGCCGAGATCTTCGGCCGCGAGTACACCTTCACGCGAGTCATCCGGCCCAAGTCCGCTGCCCGGGGCCCCTCCATTGCAGGGCCCCAAAACCGGGCCAACACTCTGGCTTTCTCTGAAAACCTGGTGCACTTCCACACCGGACCCAACCATGCGGTGGACATCCTCACCAAGGCCACCATTACTCCAGGGACGCACTCGTACTCCTTCAGCCTTCCCACCCACAGATGGTATGTTGTCAACAGCTCCTCCCCCCCCCCCTTCCTCCCCTTTGTCGGGCAATGGAGCCCCTCCCCTGGCTTCTCTGACTGGCTTCTCGTCCCTCCGCCATTGGCCCCCCTTTCTCCCGGCCCCTATACCCCTCTCCTGTGCACTTCCCAGGCTCCCCTCCACCTTCTGCGCCGTGCGCGATGAGCGTCGTCTCAGCTTTGCCGTTGCCTACTCCATCAAGGTCCGCGTGGTGGAGAGTGCCGAGCGGATCTTCGACTTCCAGCGCAGCATCTGCCTCTTCCGGGCACCCAGCCCCGCCCCCCCACGGCCTTTCGTCAGCAACGACTCCTCAGATGTCTTCTTTTCTCGAAGTACGTACCTAAGGCTTCACATGTGCTGAGACCCTCCCCCCCCCCTCCTGCGGACCCGCGCTTCTGGCATTCTGGCCACTCACCCTTGTCCGCCATCTCGATGTCCGCCACCTTTCAGAGAAGATCACCTGGCAGGTCCAAATCCCCAAGCGTGTATGTATCCGCCTGTCTGCTCGCTGCCCTCCCCCCCCCCTCCCTCCACCTCCCCGGTGTCGCAAACACATCACTCCCCTCCTTGCACATGCCTCCACTGACACCTCCGCCATCCATCCGTAGACTTTCTTCCCAGGAGAGGTGGTGCCGCTCAGCATTCGTGTTGACAATCAGACATCGCGCGCTGTGCGCAACATCCACCTCTCCTTCCACCGCATTTACCATTGCACATTCGTGGCCGCCGGGCACTTTGCACAGCGGACCAAAATCTCCTTCCAGCACACTGGCAAGGCGCTCAGCAAGCAGTCCATCACGGACCTTGCCCTGAGCTTTGTCGTCCCGCAGGATGCCCTCCCCTCCACCCTGGGGACCCTCTTCCGCGTGTCGTGTACGTGCGGTCTGCCCGGCCACCGGATCGGGCCCGGCGTGGCAATGACCCTTGCCGTATCGCCATCCCACACCCTCCTCTCCGTCTCTCTTTCTCACTCTCCCCGCATGTCCCTCCCCCCCCCCCTCCAAACACATGTCCTTCTTGCCTGCTGTAGATGAGCTGCATGTGAGCCTTGAAATGGCCATGACCTCAGACCCGGTGATCAAGCTCCCGCTGGAGGTCGATTTCAATCCCGCGGACGCGGATCTCATCCAACGCCTTCCTCGGATGTATATGGACTTTGATCCGACCTTCTTCACACAGCCATCGGTCAACACCAGCGCCCTGTTCACCTATCCGGGACCGCATCTGGCCATCAAGGATGCCGGGCGCAAGGATACTTTCAACTGCAGCTAGGAGGGCCGCCCCGTCGCACCTAGCCGGGCCATTTGCGCAGCCCTCCAGGGCCCGGGAAGCCACACAGGCTGGACACCCATGCGGCGTTCAAATGCCCACATGCGGGTGCCACCTTGCAATAAACACCCAAAATCTTCACACCACACGCATACACTCGCATGCGCCTGGTCAGGGGAGAGAGAGAGAGGGAGCGAGGGAGTGGGAGGGAGTGGCAGAGCGGGAGGCAGGGAGATGGCAAGAGTGGACAGCCCCCAGTTCTGGGGCCCTGTGAACCGAAGACAGAAAGCCCTTCCGATGGCTGAGCCCCTTCCCCGTCAAGACGCTCCACCGGGTCCGAAGAGCCTCGGCCCCTGCCAGGGCCCGCGACCCCGAGGGAACCTCCCTCGCAGGGGCCCGGTCCGGGCCACAAACATGGGCGGGGCGTCAGATGCCAATTCTCTCCCCATTCGAGGGACCGAATCCGGCAGGTCCTTTCTCGGGCTGGGAGGGCGTATCAAATTCCAGGCGCGGAGATCGGTTGCCGCGCTCTGTCCCCTGGGCATGGTCAAAGCAAGAGTATGCTGCGGCCCCCCGCCCTCGGATCCCGCAGACACACGCGCACGGCGGCCCCATACAGACAACCGGCCCTCTTTTTTTTCTTTTTTTTCCACCCGCAACCATAGAGGTGCTGGGGTAACGCCCTGCCCAGCGCATGCACATCGGCGTGTGGCCGCCGTGCCCAGGGAAAGGGAAAACAAATACCGAAGGGGCTCCAACCTGGTGGGCTGAAGTGCTCTCCCAAGCCGGCATCCCTCACCCTACTCCCCTTGCTGATCTTCGGGACCTTCGCCTTTTTCTTCCTCTCTCCCCCTCTCTCTCTCTCTCTCTCGCTCAGGTGTTTCCTCCGGCTCCCGCATCCTCTCCGGCCCCCGGCTCCCTCTGCTTGCGTTTCTCCTCCCTCCCTGCCACGCTGCCGTCATCGCCGCTGCCGCAGTGCCACCGTCGTGATGTCTCGCATGGAACTCGACCGCCCCTTCTACGTCCCCGGGGACACAATCTCCGGCAACATCGGTGCGCCCCATTCCCCGGGTCTTGCCCTCTCCTGATCATGCCGATGGCCCCTGTGCTGACATGCTCCCCACAGTGGCCTGCGCTCCGACCGATGGGCCCTTCAATGTTCTGCTGGAGCTACGCCTGTACGAGGTGTTCTACCGGTCATACTCGGCCCATCACACGGAAGACCTGGTTGTCGGGCGAAATGGCAACCAATCGGTCATTTTGGAGCAGCAGACCCTTCCATCGGGCATCGTCACAGGTGGCCCCCATCAAGCGGTGGCCCTTCCCTTCGTCATCCACCTTAGTGATCGGTGCGCCGGCTCATCGAGGACCACCTCCCTCCGACATGTTGGTCCTGCCATGCTGCCTGTTGCTGCCCTCTAATTCGGCCCTCCTCCTCTCGCCCGGCCCCCAGTCTCGAGCCGAGCATCTCCATCCTCCGGCCTCGGAGCTACTCCTTCGCCATTTTCTACCGCCTGGAAGCACGGCTCCTCTCCGGCCATTCGTCTGAGGCGGTGCCCATCACCTGGGCCACGCTCTGTGTCATCCGGCCGCAGTCCCCCATCTCCCCGCCCGGCGTGTCCTACCTGTCTTTCTTCCCCCTGGCTACTGCCCCGCGTGCCAACAACCTCTCCTGTGCGTATGGCCACCACACCGGAATGCAGACACACCTGCCGTGCACGGCGACACGAGTGATGTGAATTACCTTTTCTTTCTCACCTGGCCCCGTACCCCGCCTCACCCATTGCCCAACATCAAATAGCCCCCTGCCCGATGTCCCCAATGTCGGGCGTCCATGTCACCGGTCATTTGGATCGCATGGTAGGTTTCCTCCCCCCCCCCC